AAGACTATTGTATCGTTAAAAATTATTTTTTTATTTTGTACAAACAAAATAAATATATTGGAAAATATAAAAACAATAAAAAATTATACTTCAGAAGTTAATTTAGTATCAAAAACGTAAAATATTTGAGTAGCCCAAAAAGATTGCAGCACCACAGCACTGGCAAAAATTTAAATTTGCCGACTGGAATTCTTTCGGATGATTGCCTTTTGGATAATCAACGCTCTACTGTAATACTAAAATTGTAGCAATTAATTTAGTGCATACAATGTGAAAAATGAAATAATACTAAAATTATAATTATATGGTAGTTCATATTTATTGGAGTAGAAGATATACCTATGGATTCAGAAAGTAGCAGAAATACCAGATTTTCCACATTTTAAAAGTTTGCTTTATTCTCTAACATTTGATAATTAATGTATTGAACAAGAATGGAAACTTGATAGATATTTTCTTAGTGTGTGTCTTTGCATGTGCTACTTTAATCTAATACTTAATGTATGCCTTGTATCCTTAATATGAAGTAAGTTTTTATTGTTATAGACTGGAGAAGTGTTGTAAATTCTCATGAGCTTTCTAAAATTGTCCAAGGATCTCTGAATAAAATTCTTAACCACTTTTAATTCTGTTCTAGTCTACAGCTAGGATTCCCAGATACTTGGAGATAAAATCTGAAACAAAATGAGTTCTTCCCAAAAGATACTGGGATACTTCAATTCCAGGATACACAGTAACAGTACATCTTACTCTGTCAGTGACAGAAATACTGTACATTTAAAATGTGGAAAAAGAAAAAGATACTTCATTTTAGGAACAGTTTTTAGAATAAAGTTCTCCTGTCACTAGATGGCAGTCAGAAAAAATCTGGACAATTCCAGAAAACCGAGACATCTGGCAATGCTACCTACAGTGTCAGTTCAGTAGTTTTTCTATCAAAAACACAATGTAGTAAGTTTCATCTCTATAAATTTCCTGATTCAACATCTTTTAATTTTTTTTTAATTTCAAAAAGTAAAATTTCATTTAAAGTGAAAAAATTTTATGATGCTTTCTTGATTCAAACCAAAGCACATTCTGCTGAATAGCTTAACCACTTTGATATATGCTTTTACACTATAGAATGTTTTTTCTTTCAAAATGAAGGAATGTAAATATAAACTTTAAACATTTTGTGCTTCAGAACAATGTTTTAAAACACATCTTAATAATAATTTAAGTGTATTAAACATTTTAATGTGTTGTGAAAGAACATATTAAAATGTTTAGTGTAAATGTAGAGTTAATGAAAACAATTTCAACAATGTTTCCAGAACTGTTGATCTTCTATATAAGAATTAGTATTTTTATTCATTTCCATAGCCTTCATAAAGAAGTGCATATTATTTATTATTCTCTGTCTCCTCATAGTTTGTTTCTTCTGTAATTGGAAATTTTTATATTAAGAAATAATAAATTATTAAATTTTATTCAAAATACTTAATACTTATCATTTAATACAGAATATGTGTGAAAATGATTGTGTTTAAAAACTAATAGTAATTACAACTAAGATACATTACTAAATTTTTATCATGCCAATACAGGAATCTTTAGATTCATCTCAAACATCAAATAATATTATTATATATAGCAGACATAGGCAAATGCAGCTCTTTTTGAGTTACATGTGGCTCTTGCTGAAAGTGTTAATTTCTGCTTTTTATTATTATTATTACAATTTTCCACAATTTTGTGAAAATATGTTTAAGAAAAATTCAATATTTGTTTTATATTATATTTATATCATATAATAAAATTGCAGTACAGAATAAAAAAGTACAGACCTGCGGCTCTCATGCAGTTTACAAAACCTAGATTTCGGCTCCCACTGAACTTTTGCTTGCCCACTCCTGGTATATAGTGTCAATGATATTTCAAAACTTGGAGTTGTTGCATGATGTGTGCATATATGATATATAATGTATAATATAAAGTACTGTATGTCCATTTAATATTAGTAATTGAATTACTCAGATATTAATCCTCAAGTAGTATAATTTTCATTTTGTCATATTTCTTTTTTTTTTTCTCTCTCTCTCTTTCTTCCCTCTTCTCTAATATTAAAATGTATCAAAAAAAGTATCAAAAATTAAACTTTATTTTAAAATTTATGTTGTATGATTTATATTTTATATGAATATAATATACATATTTTTTATTACATTTTGATCAAAAATTATTTTTTAATCAACCAACCATCAGCCAAATTAATCAGGCAGAAATTATAATACAAAGATTAATTTAGAAATTACATGATAAGAACAACTAGAGATAGACATCAGGCACTATCTCTTAACTATACAGTGGAACCTCTATATTCATCATTAATCTGTTCCTAAGGACCTAACGAATATGGAATATGATGAATATAGAAACAATTTTTCTCATAATAAATAACTGATATTTAATTAATCCGTTCACATCCTGAAAAAAGGTACAAGAATAAAAATTATTAGTGATTTAATGAATATTCAGTTACTATTCAGTATTCGGTTTATTTTTCACTATTCAGCCGAATACCGAATACCTAAAAACAGGAGTAATAAATAAGAAAAACACAGTAAATTAATCATTTTGGTATTTAGATTTAATGTTATCGAGTTAGTGTTGTTTGTTTATATTTATTTATAACTTGTAACATGCACAAAATAAAAAAGAAAATAATATTAGTCACATGTATTCACAATTTATAATTACAAAGATCAGCACACGTACACGTCTATCGTTGGAGAATCCTCGCACATCTGAGGGTCTGACCCTGCCTATCCTTCTTTTTAAGCGCTCGTCTTTGCTCTTCCCTTTCTCTTTCCTCTATCGCTCTAATCCATGTATGCCTGTGCATACATCATAATACGCGCTCACGATACTTTCGATTCGTCACTTTTCCGTCGTAGAGTTCCCATTTTACAATTACGTGACTCAGCCTGGTGATAACGGAGAAAAGAGACAGATAGGACGTCGATATAAGTCACAGTTATGATTTCACAGATTCGAGACAGCTTGATAGCCCGAACGGCCCCAGGCTTTCGCCCGTGCACGCTAAGTGACTTTCATTACAAGCATTTAGCTTTCCGAAGTCTATGACAACAATTGTTTGGCATTGACGGCCGCGAATTTCGTGCCAATAAGCTGCCTCGACTTGTTCGATTATGTTATCAACTCAATTTCATATTTATTTTCACATTTTCACTTCGCTGTCCTTCTCTGTTCTTTTTTCGTTATTTACACGTGTAGGTCATTTCATTGTTATCCACATTTGATATAATCATTTATCACATACTTCCATGACACTCTTGTCTGTCCGCTACAACTGCCAAGAATTAACACGATTGGCGAAGCGTAGTGACAGCGAGCCAATAGAGAGCAGGATCCTTGCCATAATGTGGTTTGCGCACCAATTTTCGTATGTGCGTTAATCAAGCTGAATAGTTTGGCCGAATATTCGGCTATTCGGTCATGCTCCTGGCCGAATATTCAGTATTTGGCCTGAGGCCAAATATACTATTCGTTACAACACTAAAAATTATGTTGTTTGAAAACTTTATCTTTATTGTACTAAAATACAGTATAGTGGTAGAAGGGAAAGAACAGTATTATTAATATAGTATTATTATTTAGAAGAAGACATATCAATTAAAACATCAGGCAATTCCAAGTATGATCATGGGATCTGTTATGCCGATGATTCAGTAGCTCTAAAAATGTTCTTTGAGATGAAAACATCCTCAAAGAACATTTTTAGAGCTGCTGAATCATCGGCATTTTTAGAGCTTTATTAAATTTGATTTAATAAAGAACTTGTCCAGTTTTGTGTGTTTTTGTCTGCTTTTTAAAATGTATAAATATGAAGTAGGCAATTACATTATCATTGAATGCATTTGTATTTTGGTTGACTACAGCAACATTTGGGTGCCACTTTGGTTTCTTGCATTGATTATTTTTCAATAAGCTCAACAACACACATGACGACTGCACAAAGCAGACTGATTAACTACAGCTAGCTGATCAATGCAGGTGTGTGATCGTAGTGCCACTTCTGGTGTTGGAAATGACAACATGAAAATACTGACGAATACAGAAAAATAAAAAAGTCATCAAAATGTGATGAATATAGAGGTTCCACTGTACTGTATTTATTTAATACAATAAAGATAAAGTTTTACAAACAACATAATTTTTATTCTTGTACCTTTTTTTCAGGATGGAAATGGATTAATTGAATATCAGTTATTTATTATGAGAAAAATTGTTTCTATATTTGTCATATTCCATATTCATCCTTAGGAACAGATTAATGATGAGTATAGAGGTTCCACTGTATTTTATATGTATATATTTTATGCCGAGTAAAGCATTAGCCATCTGAGTACTGTTGAGTAGGCCGGTGGGTGTTGAATACGTCACCAGGCGGTGCTGTGGGTAACTGTTGGATGGTTATATCTAAAGTTTAAATGTGTCTGGAAGGGAGGAGCTGCTCAGAGGTCAGGGTGGTGTAACTGGTCAGCGAACCCCATGATAAGCAGAGGTTGTGGGTTCAACTCCCACTCTGGGCCAATTCTTTTCTTCTAGACTATTCTAAATTTAAAATTAACTTATAGTAACTACTTTAGTTAAGAGATAGTGCCTGGTGTCTATTTCTAGTTGTTCTTATCGTGTAATTTCTAAATTAATCTCTGTATTTCTGTCCGATTAATTTGGCTGATGATTGGTTGATTATTAATACATCAGGTTTTTTTGATGTTTATATGTAAATGTTTTTTTGACTTAATTTGAAAAATTTTATTGTATATATGTTAAATTTAAATATATTTATAACAAATATAACTGATAACTAAATTTATACATATATATATTTTTTTTTTCTAGGGTATCTTGTTGCAACGATATCTGCATTTCTCCCATTGAGAACAGTTCATTTGTTAGTTTTGTGTAAAGGAGGAATAAATGTCAGAATTCTTACATATACACCTTTGGGAACTACAAGAAAAATAGAAGTGCCACTGAGTCATATATCTTGCCAGCATTCTAGGCACAGTGCTTCTTCAAATATGTCTTTGAAAATAAAAGGCCGATGGTTTTATTTCCTAATTGACAGAAAGGGTGTATTTCTCCAACCAAAATTATTTGATAATACTGTTGGTCTGTATCGACATTTGAAATAAATATGTTCCATTTATTAGTTGAAGAATTTAATAGCTAATGAAGTATACAAATTTACTTTCAAGTAAATTAGTTAAAAGCTAAAGAATTTTAAATACTTCATTAAAAGAGAAAATTTTTATGTATTTTTAAGTATAATTGTTTGATAAATATACATATATAAGTTATAATTTCAGTTTTCATCAATAATGTTATTAATAATATTTTTTTTTAAATTAAAATTTAAATATAAAGATAATTTCATTTATTATATTTGTAATATGATTTTAAATATGATATTCATATTAAAAATTATTTTACAGTTTAATTTTTTACATTTATCTAACAAAACAAATTAAGACAATAAACTACATAAAATATAGTTTTATTTCTATTATAAAATAACAGTACAATAGAAGTTAATTTGGCACCAAGGTGGTGCCAGATTACCACATGTTTTTTGCAAAATTAATGAATAAGTTATATGCAAACTCAATGTTATATACATTGCTGTATATTTTGTATCAGCACAGACTATTGTATGCTTCCAATTTGTTTGTGTGCTCTTTAATCACATTTTACATATGTTGTGAATATTCCCTGTATTTGCTTTAAATTTAAATCAAAACTTTTTCACACTAGCACTTACTATGCATTTAGGTTTAGAGAATGTTCTTATTTTGGTGAACATAAAAAAACTTAAAGATCTCTATTTGAATTTTGTAGATTCTTTGTTCACCTGTTGATGACATTTTGAAATGTTAAAAGTAATTGAATGTATTCAATTCACCAATTAAATAAATTTAATGCCAAAAGACATTACGTTTTTTCATAACCTATATTTGATGTCATATGTGATTATATAAAATTTTCTTTAATCTGTCTGAAGATCATACAGTGCATGACTATATTGTGTTTAGATTGATTGAAAGACCAACAAAAATGTTAATAAACATATTATGGCCCAGATCTTTAACACACTGTGTTTCCAAGCAAATTCAGTTTATAGAATACTAGCATGCTAGATTATTACACAGTTCAGGATACTTATCAAAGGGCAACATTAACAAACTTCTGCTGTAATATAAATTGTCAAAAAATATCTTTGAAAAAGTTTAAAAGATTGCATTTTACTATTTTACTATTTTTTACTCTTGTTAATGTTTTCTTAATAGGCTGCAATTTGAAAACACTGTAGACCTATAAATTCCCACTGTCATCTGTCTGTCTTTCCTTAATCTTGAGAATGATGTTAGATAAATGTAATTCAAGAGTAGATATGGAAAACTTGGAGGCAGGATGCCCCAATTAACTACATATGAACTTCAAATGCAAATCAAAATTTACATTATTCTAATTCAAAAATTTCCCCTGAAAGGAGCTAGATAGATGACTAGCATGACTCCATTGCTAATGAAACAGTATGATGGACAGAGACAACATACAATACAATACTAATTTGAGGTGGAGAGCATATATTTTAAATTAAATAAATTAAAAATATTATTTAAAAATTGCAGCCCACCATTGTGAGATGTCACAATAAATAATTGCTTGTTATTATTTCACATCTTTTCGTATATAATAAGTATCAAATTTTATTCTTACAAACTTTTCAATATTTTGAAAATTTTAGGCCTTATTATTATTACAAATAAAAATATTATATTTGAGTATTTTTATTTTTATTTATTTATTACGCATACTGGATACACTCCTTGATGCAGGGAGCAAAACCATCTCCCAAAGAACAAAAACACAAATACAATGATCATAAGATCACAAACAGATTATACAATAATAAATTAAATACATAACAATTTAGATACAAATTAAATATTAAAAAATCAAATATAATAATTAGTTAAAGTTTGGGAGCATCTGTCAATAAAATACAAAAAACTAATAAATAAAATAAAAACCAAAAATAAGCAAATTGCTTACCTATAAGAAAGAAATAAGTTAATAACGAAGATACAGCAGTGACAGATGCTCCCAAACAACACCAGCANAGTTAAAAGAAGAAAGACGGGGTATTTTGGCCACATCATCCGAGGAAGTAAATATGAAATTTTGAGAAATATTTTAGAGGGAAAAATCTGTGGAAAGAAAAGCCCAGGAAGGAGAAGGAAAAGTTGGTTAGGTAATATATGTGAATGGAATAATAAGAAAGCAGAACTAACACGTGAAGCACAATTGAGATTGTTATAATACTAGTCCTACATTCAGAAATGAATATGGAACCAGAAGAAGAAGAAGACCCCCTATAACACTGTTGATAATTCCGTTTTATAAGAAGTCCATGTTGTACGAGTCACTTAGATTTTACAAATACGTGTGCCAAGCTGTGAATGGCTCACATATTTGTAAAATCTAAGTGACTCGTACAACATGGAATTCTTATAAAACGGAATTATCAACAGTGTTATAGGGGGTCGACTGTATCATTGTACTGTATGTAAATCTAATACATCAGACAAATCCTATTCTTAGATTTAAAAAATTTTATAACTTTCAGCTTTAATATAATAAAAATAATAACTTTTTTTGAAAAGTCCATCTTGTTGTATAGCAAGGATTTGCATAACATGGCACTTTCCACAATGCAATTATTTTTGAAAAGTCCATCTTGTTTATTGTAATTTTTTTTAAAATTAACCTCCAGAATAAAATGCTTTTAACTACATCAAACTGTTTAGTTTTATTTTTTTCAGTACAAGCTGGAATGCTTAGAAATTAAATAAGTTAAACTTGAAAAAAAGAGCAGTCAAGTTCAAAACTCACATACGTCAGTTAAATTCAAAACTTATATGTATTGAAGTAAACGTATGTACAGTTACAAAAATTTTCACAAATAACAATTACAAAACGTCAGATGTTAACAAAGTTCAACACATGTATCCACTACAACAGGTCCATCGAAAAGACACCTTGTGACGACCTACTTCTAAAGTTATTTACTGCACAGCCAGACGAAATAATCTTCTAGGTCAGCTTAGGCCAAGTTAGAACGACCGTGAGTTCCCTTGATATGTCCGAGACGAACTAAAGTCAAACGTGAGTCCACTTCATGTGTCCAAGGAGAACTAAACTTCCCTTCTTTCTTTTCTTTCTTTTTTCTATCTTATTAATATGGAGACTCTAGCCTATTGGCTTTTTCTCCGAATTACTCCGCTTGGAATTTAGGTAAAGCGGTTGGTGCGGTGAACAAAACGCTTCAAGATTTTGATATGTTGGTGGGGAGGAAGGTCTATATGAGGCCAGTATATCGGAGTTAAGGTACGGACGATCGTGAGGTCCAAGGTTAAAAGACGGCCTAGCTCTTGGCGTGCCTATGTGTATTTCGGGCAGACAAGCCAATAGTGTGCGGAAGTTTCTGGCGATCCACAGTGGGGGCAATCTGGCGAGGCGCTTTGGCGTCGAGAATAGAGGAAGTTGTTAAGGGGGCCGTATCTGTTCGAAGTCTAGCCAATAGGGTTTCTGTGTGGCGAGACGAGGCGTGATGGTATATCCAAGAGGCGAAAGGTCAGAGATGGTCGCGACCTTTTTTCCGAAGAATGGTAGACCAAGTATCGGTGTAGTTGCGGATGATCGATTCCCGCATCTGATGTATGAGGTCACATGCCATGAGAGGTCTCCACCAGGAGCCGATGGGAGTGTCATGGCTAGCAGCTTGGTCTGCTTCTTCATTTATGTTCATGCCAACGTGACCAGGAGTCCACCCGATTTCAAGGGGTGTTGGGTGGGAGCTGATGGTTGCGGCTAGGTCAATAATAACCGCAGGAGAGGAAAAATTGACGTTGGCGACTGCCTGGAGAACTGATTTGCCATCCGAGACAATGGCCGTCGGAGTGTTAAGACGGGCGCTGAGATTAACTGCCCATTGGATGCCGAGAGCCTCCGCACCGAAGACGCTGCAGCTCGTGTGTAGCGACCAAGTTTCCTTGACCGTATGAGCCGGAAGAACTACTCCAAAGGCCGTCCGTAGGTGTGATTTTGAGGCATCTGCCCCAATGAGAGTCCAACCCCGCCAGTTGGTAGAATGTAAATGATTGAAAAGGGCATTCAAGGCTTCCGGAGGTTGGCTGGAAGCATTTGGAAAGTCGTCAAGACGAATTCTAGGTTGGATGTTCACGGGGCTCGGGGGTACGTGTTTTTGCCGGTATAGGTGAGAGATGGGTAGACCTTCCTGACGAATCAGTGAGAGGACCCTAGAGGCATACGGGACCTGGAAGGGGCGCCAATGGTAGTAGTCTAGACTGGAAGCTGTGCTGAGTATTTTGTAGAGATGGCTATAGTGGCCTCTTGAGAGGTGAGTGATGGCGTGCGATATGGCTTTCTGACTCAGCCTTGACTGGAGTGGAATATAGCCTGACTCGGCATATAAAGATAAGAGCGGAGTAGACTTGGGCACACCCAAGGCTGTGCGAAGGGCTTCGTGAATGGGTTTTTCGATGCAACGGACAGTGGTTGGGGGGCCCCTTCCAGGAGAGGAGCGCCAAATTTTGCCATCGGGCTAAGGACGGTGTAGATTAAGCAGAGGAGGTCGGCTCTCCTGGCACCATTTCTACGAGAAGCAAAAAATTTGAGGAGGGAACCGGCACGAGTCACTTTGGTTCTTAAGAAAGTCTCGTGGGCGTGCCGAGTGATGTTATGCGAAAAATGAAGATTGAGGATGCAGAGAGAAGGGCGCTGAGGGATATAACCTGAGTTCAGAGACAAAGTAAGTGGAGGGCGGTGGAGTTTGGCAGAAAAATCGACGGAAGCGCTTTTAGTGGCGGAAAAGGATAAACTCCATGTGGTTGCCCAGTGTTCAAGGTGGTCCAGGGCTAATTGAGCTTTGCGAGCTGCTTGAGAAGGCCTTGTACTCGAAGTGAGAATGTATAGATCGTCCGCGTAAAGGATGGCGGTGACATTGGGGGGAGAGTGGTCCAAAGGTCCGCCATGTATAATGTAAATAGAATGGGGGCAAGAACGCTCCCCTGGGGGACGCCTTGGATAAAGGCGTGAGGAGGTGACAGCACCTCGCGCCAACGGACGCGAAAAGAACGATGTAATAGGAACGATTTAAGCCAGGACAAGAGTCTCCCTCCCATACCGAAAAATTCTAATTTAGCTAGGAGTCC